CTTGCTCGGCGAGTCCTCCGCCAGCGTCGAGTAGTTGGCGTTCATCTGCGCCGGGTAGTAGTGCTCGGAGCTCGAGTGGCTGGTGCACGACGAGCAGTCGTCCATGGGGTCCGAGCCGTTGCTGCTACGAGTCCTCGGGGTGTAGAAGTCGGGGCTCCCCGTGTCGTTCTCCGAACCCAGGAGTTTGCCCTGGGACTCCAAGCTGGAGCTCCGGTGTCTAAAGTGCAGAGCGAGGCTGTGCAGCCGCGTGGGGCTGATGTCCACCGACCTGCGGGGAAGACGAGGTTTGGGTCCGTGGGAACCCCTGCGTGTGCAGGGGAATCCCCACTTCCTAGGCCCTCCTAGCCTCAGGGAGGCGGTCACAAAACCCACGCTGGCGGGCGTTGCAGGGCGCTCAGCGACCAGCGACGCGATCCTGATCGGCAAGGTTGCAAGGGGAAATCCAGGCGCTGCCAGGGTTCCCAAGGGGAACAAAGAAGCTTTTGGTACCCTGGAGGCAGAGCCAGGAGTTAAGAGTTGGGTTCCTAAGGGTGGGGCCTGGCAGAGGGCCGGAAGCTAGGACATGCAGTCCTCTAAAAAGTACATGCCAATATCTAGTTTCTGTGTGTGTGTGTGTGCTGGGGCTTGAACTCAGGGCCTGGGTGCTGTCCCTGAGCTACTTTTGCGCTCTACCACTTGAACCACAGCACCACTTCCAGTTCTCTTGGTAGTTTAGTGGAGATAAGAGTTTCACAGACTTTCCTGCCCCGGCTGGCTTCAAACTGTGATCCTCAGATCTCAGCCTCCTGATTAGCCAGGATTACAGGCCTGAGCCACTGGTGCCAGCTAGAGGGTTTTTGTTTTTTTTTTTTTAAGGTGCATAATAATGTTCTAGATATAAAGAGAACTAGCAGATCAATATTGTTGGTGTTACAGAAACCCTTTAAAAAAAAATCTTTGTAGGCCAAAAGAGCAAAGATAAAAACAACAACAAGAACAAAAAAAAAAAAGGCCAGGTGTGGTGGTGTATATTTATAATCCTGGCCAGGTAGGAGGCAAAGTTTAGATGCTAATCAGACACTGGCTTGGGCAAAGGAAGAAGACCCTATGAAAAACAAACTACAGCAAAAAGGCCTGGAGGCATGGCTCAAAGGGTAGAGTATCTACCTAGCTGGTATAAGCCCTGGGTTCAAAAGACAGAACTAACCCCCCCCCCCAAACCCAAATCAATGCTCTCTACAAAGACCCTTTCATATGATTAAAACAAATCACTCCCAACCCCACACAAACGGATGTCCATTTCCAGTGAAGACTTTATGCTGGAAGCTTGGTGGAGCACATTCTCCCCTGCCCCCGCACCACAGATGGTACAAATACTCACCCTATGTGGAGCTGTCTACAGTCCCGGCTACCTGACTCCATCAGTGGCCCTCTCTGTCACTGGACAGATGATGGTACCCAAGGCTGGGGATAAGAAGTCAACGGTGGCTCCTCCACCACTCAAGCCCCCACCGGAGGCCCCCAGCAAGGGACCTTCCATGACCTGGCTTTACTTCTGTTTGAGAAGATGGATGCAATATACTGAAGCTTAATTTTTTGCCCGTTTTACTTGCTGTTAATTTATATCTGGAGCATTAAAGCCAGTCTGAAATAATCCTGGGCATACTATCAAATCAATCAAGGTCAGTGCAAGGGTGATTGGGATTCCCCACTTCCGGTGCTAAGCAGCTTTCCTGCCTCCAAGTCCACTGAGGACGCTGATCCAGGAGCCTGGGGATCCCCTAGTGGACGCCCCGTGTCCCTAGATGTGCAAAGGGGGCTGTCAGATTTCTTGGCTAACGTGGTCTGACTGCTCTGGTTTTCAAGCTTTCTTCACTTACAAAGAGACCTCGTCTTACTGGCTCAGGCCGGATTCCAGCTCACCTGTCTTTGGCCACGGCTAGGGGTCCACCATGCCTCGCTATAGACCAAGGCGAGGTGCGGAGGGCCTGAGGACTCACCTCGTGGAATGGACGTAGTGGGGGCTCCGGACGCGCAGGTCTGGCGTGGAGGGCATGCTGGACTGCGAGTTCCAGTGCGGGAGGCCGCGGATGGGGCTGTTCTGCAAGGAGCCGCTTCCCCCGCCGCCACCGCCGCCGCCGCCGGCCTCCGCGCAGCTCCCGGTGCTGGGAAAGCGCTTGTGGCTGCTGAGGACCAAGCAGGCAAGCCAAGCTCCACACCCCTGCCCGACAGCCAGGCACCTTTCCCCGCGGGCCTGAGCAACGTGGGGCGCAGAGCTCCGGGATGGATGGGAGGCTGGTGCAGGACTCCCTTTCTCCCCTCCGGATCGCTGCCTTTTCTCCAGCAATGGGGTGTGGGGTGAGGGGGGCTTGTCCCTACTCCCCCCCTTCAGTCAATAGCAGATACAGACCCTCCCTAGACGATCTCTCTATTCTATGAAGCCTTCCCTTTATTTCTTTATTTCTGGAACCCTCCCTTCCACCCCCAGGTCTTTATAGGGTGTGTAATTAACGGAAATGAGAAAAACACAGACTTGAACCCGAAGTGCCTTCCAAAAAAACCTCCCCAGAACCCCAACGCTGTCTACAATATTATCCAAGGAATGAGCTGATAATGCGCAGCTCGGGTTGCAGCAGCTTGGCTCCACAACTCTGCCGGAAGATGGTTTTGGATTTCGCACCGCGTTGGGATTCCTGTGAGTGGCCTCTCGTTTTGCCATCTTGGAACCGTGCTGCCTAAAGATCTCCTAATTAATTCCCGTGGAACTTAACAACGTTAAAGCCATCTGCCAGCAGGTTGAGTGTGAGCCAGGCCTGCCAGTTTCCCTGCGCCTCGACAGAGTGGGCAGCAGAGGGCGCTGTGAGCACAGAAAGGCAAAGCCAGGCTATGGAGCACTATGTGGGGGGAGCACTATGCGGGGGGGGGGGGAGGACTTGGGGTCTGTAGGTGAGCTCTGGCCACCTTCGTGGACAAGGACAGGCAATGTCGGCAGTGACCTGCTTTTGGCCTCCTGGCCTGACTCACCCGGAATGACTGTGGGAGGAACGCTTCTTGACCTTCTCATAGGGCTCATCCAGGGACGACTCGCTCCACATCTTGGGCTTTATGGGGGACTTGTCGTAGTCGCTGCGGTGATAGTGCATCTGCCTGAGTCCCTCCAGGGACTGCGGAGGCGGAGGCCTGTTGTGTGAGGACGGCGGCCGAGGGGGGAGTCCCTTGTGCGGGGACTGTAAGGGGGATATTGTGCTGGTAACCTGAGCATCTTCTGCATGGAGACAGGAAGAAAGACAAGTCTCGGTCACCCCAGTACTGCCACCAGCACACTGGAGCCACGTGGCAAAGCTCCACCTGTGTCCCCCGAGAGCCCTGGGACTCTGCAGATCTAAACTCCCAGCAGAATGAGCTGGGAGGAGAGGTGGCCCTTTTAATGAATGAATCCTGTTAATTAAAGCCTAAATTCTATCCAATAGCTTTCAAATCACAGCAAGAACGTACTTACTATTTAGTATATCACAACATGTTTTTGTAGTACAGGGACTTGAACCCAGGGCCTTGTTCTAGCAAGCACTCTACCACTTGAGCTATGCCCTCAGCCTTCTTTTTCTTTTTTTCCCCCCTTTTTTAAAGTTGTTTTTTTTCAAGCAGTCCCCTACTTATGCTTTTTTTCCCCTAGCTAGGATCATAGACATGTGCTACCATGCCTGGCTTTATTGTAACTTTTATGGTGGTGGGATTGAACCTGAGGCTTTCCATGGAGCTACACCCCTACTTTGTAACTTTAAGAAACAGTAAACATCAAGTTTGTTTGGGGGGAATTTAAGCTTCAGGAGGGTTTTGTCTGCTCTGCCTTCTACGATGCCCTCCAGATCAGGAATGAGTGTGGACACTCAGCAGGTGCTCAAGAGACATTTAATGGAGGGGGAAAAATGTATGTATATCCACCAAGTATGATTCTCTGCCCGTGGATCTAGTTATTTAGTCTGGTTTTTTTTTGTTTTAATTCCAGAACTACCTATATTCTTAATCTGTTCTGATATATTTTAATTAATTGGCAGTGCTGGGACTGAACCCAGGACCTCACACGAGCTACACAAGTGCTCTACCACTGAGTTACATCTTTGGCCCTGTGTGGGTGGAATTTCATTTAGGAAGGGCCTTGGGGTCGCTCCATCTCCCATGGGCACGGTGGGGCAGGTAGAAGACTTTGAGAGGAAGCGCTGCAGCTGGACAGGGGAAAGCACCATGGGGAAGAGGAAGGAAGGACACAGGGCGGGAGCATGCTGTGGTGAGGGCTGGGTGAGAGCCGTGGGCATAGTCCAGCTGGGCAGTGGCTGGTAAAAGGGGGCGGAGAGAGCAAGGGGGCGGGTTTCCTGGTGGCACCATTGATAAGCAAAGAGCTCTGAGCACTACCTGGGACCCTGAATTGCAGGCAAGCAGAAGGGAACTGCAGAACTCTGCACGTTGTTAATAAGCGCGAGTCACATAGTTAGGATGGAAATCCTGCTGCAGAATGATTCATCTGGCAGGTTGGGGCTGGGAGGGGAGAGAGGGATGAGGGAGGACCAGCAAAGATATCTTGTGTCTTGTAATGAGATCCTGGGACAGAGGAGAGGAAGGACCTTTGTGTTCATGGGGAAGGCGAGGGGGGGGCATGGGGGACGGATAGGGGAACGGGTGGAGGTGGGGGCCACCACCAGGCAGGCATGGGGTTTCACAACTGCATTCTTAACCCTTAACCCAGAAGCCTAAATACACTCCTACCCCTCCTTTGCCCCCCACTTCCTGCCTCCCAAATCAATACAGGAGGTCTAGAAACTGAGGGCTGGGTGTGGTGGTGCATGCCTGTGATCTGAGCTATGTGACAAAATGTGAGACCTTATCAGAAAAGAATGAAAAAAAAGGGGGTAAGCATGGGGGGAAGCGTCACAGCTCAAGCTGAACAGCATTTACTTAGCAAGCGTAAGACCCTGAGTTCAAACCCCAGTAATGCAGAGAGAGAGAGAGAGAGACAGAGACAGACAGAGATTGAGAGGGATGGAGGGAAAGAGAAGATAGAGGGAGATGAGAGAGGGAGAGGGAAAGAGGGAGAGCGAGGGGCAGAGGGGGAGGGGGAGAAGGAGGGAGAACCAGCCCCCCCTCCCCTGCAGTGGGAGTCTGGGACACAAAGTGGCACAAGGGCGCTTTCAGGATACTGGAGACGTGGGAACATGGGGAGGAAAGGATGATCAAGACTGATGTCTCGCTCGAGCCAACATTACCTGTTGCTCTGGTCACTCCTCTGTCACAAAAGAACACTAACTTGTTCTTGTTCCCTTCCCAGAAGAGATGGGGGCACCAGAAGTCATAACAGGGTTGGACATTTGGCACTGAAAATGAATCTTAGCCAGGTGCTGGAGGCTCACGCCTGCTATCCTAGCTGCTCAGGAGGCTGAGATCTGAGGATTGTGATTTGAAGCTAGTCTGGGCAGGAAAGTCCACAAGACTCTAATATCCAATTAACCACCGAAAAGACAGAAGCAGAGCTATGGCTCCAACTGTAGAGTGCTAGCCTTGAACACAAAAGCTCAGGGACTGTCAGGCCCTGAGTTCAAGCCCCAGGATCAGCACATGCACACACACACACACACACACACACACGCACACATGCATGCACACACACCAGAATAGAAAATGCCTTTCTGTTTCTTGGATGCCTCCATGTACCTCCATGTACTGAAGCAGACAATAAAATATTCCAATCTGACTTGTAATAAGTCGGGCCAAGAGGACTGGGTAAATAACTCACCAGACGTTCTCCACATCAAGAGCAATGACTATTATTAGTGCAATTATCATTATTGCTAGGACTTGGGTAGGCCTTTTATGTTTTCCCTCTGAAAAACCACTTATCACTGCCTGCCTGAGGGTTCCCCAGAGGGCAAAAAAATTAACTGCCACTTAATATATTTCTATGTAATTAATGTTCCCCCTCCTAATCATTTGGTTTAACACCCACAGCAAGACTCAGAAATGGTTCCGAGTTTTGGAATTCTTAACTTTGGCTGGAGATGGTGATGGCGTGTCAGGGGTTTAGTCCTGCTTTGCTAAGACTCGCTATGAAAATATCACAGCTGTGCCTCTTACCTGTCATCCTAGCTACCCAGGAGGTTGAGGTCTGGAGGATGGTAGGTCAAGGCCAGCCTGGGCCATAAAAGTCTGAGAGTCTCCATTTTCATGTAACCAATAAAAAGCTGGGTGGCTCAAGTGCTAGTGCTGGACACCAGCTGAACAAAGAAGCTGGGTGAGGGTGAGGTCCTAAGTTCAAACCCCAGTACAGAGCTGGGGGACAGGGGATAGGCTGCCAAGGGACATAGGAAATAGGATAATGTCCGTGGCTGGCCAGATATGGAAAGGGCATCTCCCCCCCTCCCCCCCCCCCGTTGTCTCAGAAAGCACCAGAGG